ACCACATATCACTTCTTTCTGCAGGCATGAGGGTTTTTTTTATAGAAAATAAAAACCAAAAAATTTTATCGACTGTACTGTAGATACCTGTACAGAGTGTAAACTTTAATATTTCACCAGATACGTGAATAATTCTGGAGAAAGAGTTATCAAGCACCTTCATTTCAACACATTTTTGATATTTACAGTAAGACATACCTGATTAAGTGTATGAATAAAATGAATTAAAAGGTATTAAAAGTTATTAAAAAAACACTTTTAAATGTTTATATGGTTTGTTATTTTACGATAAATATACAAGAAGAGGATGTCACAGAGTTAAGACTCAGAATTGGCTCTGTTTAAAACTGTTACTGTGTCTGAAGTGTCTGAAGAGGGAGTGAGGAGATGGGGATGTTAGCTTACTGCTCTGATCATGACATTGTGAAATGTGTTCTGGCAGAAGGCTCACTAGCCCTGGTTTTTTCAGCTGCTGCAGGTTGGCTTGTGAGTAAGCTTCCTTCCCAACACACAGTGTGGAAGCCAAAGTTCACTCTCAGATTTATACTGCTAATCTGACATAAGAACATGCATTTTGATTTTGCTTCCCCACTCCAAACTTACCACTTTGATTTTCAGCACACCTTTTTGCTGTTACTGAACACTGGCACACAAATGGGGCATCAACATATTTTTTCTTTTAAGCACCAAGACACAGGTGACCTTTCTGGAAATCAGACTTTTATCTGCCACGGTTTCTCATGGCCTAAGAAAACGCATGACATGGATTGCTAAAGAAGAAAGATGGCTAGGATAGGATTCAAAGACCACTTTCAGGCTTACAGAATCAAGCACAGAAATACTATTTTAAAAGCTCTCAGGAAACAAATGCGACTGTGTGTCTCTTTAAAACCAAACACCTCCAAATGAATCAACATCCATTCTTTGATGAACTTTCAGCAATAGAGATCTATATCTAAAGTTTGTTTAGTGGATTTTAGGAAACTGCTCAGGAATCCACCTCAGACAGAAGAAAAATAAATCTCTTAAAATCCAACAAAAACTTCAAATACATCCACTAAGCAGTGCTGATTATCTATAAAGAATAACATGCTGTGGAACAGATCACATAGGCCAGGGTGAGAACTATCCTCACAGCACATGGATAAAGTATTTCTGTAACACAAGAGTCAAAAGCTGAGATTCAAGTTTTGAAAGTGGAAGGACTGGTAGCGGGAAGGAATGCAGTTAGGCATTAAAATCTGTGATATTATCGGGTGTTCCCACCCACATCTATTCATCCTTGAGACCCCCTGGCTGCTTCTCACCTTGAGATATGGCCCAGCCGCATATATGATGGGCTAAGCGTGCCACTATGCAGATAATTGCTGCATGCTCTGAGGTACAACCCAGTCTCAGGATTTGAGTCATGCCATCCTCTTTACTCTGTTCGGTATTTTTTGTTACTTTAATTTTGCCAAGAGACACTTCCTCCTAGCCCAACACTGGTGCAACTAAGGCCTCCACGTTTACCTTGAAAAGCAAAGAGATAATATTACAAGGAACAAGATGCAGTTGGACCCAACCTGGGCAGCTCTGTCTTGCCTAACTGCTACAAAACAGTCATTGCCTCTGTGTGTGTGTGTGTGTGTGCCTGCATATGCACATTGTGGCTTGCTGTCAGCAGCATGGAGCACTTATCTTTAGGGCCTGATTGTGTTGATAGGAGTGAATTGTTTACAGCACATTTCCAAAAGGTGTCTGCTGCTCTAAAGCTTATTTTAGTGCTCAGTTTGTTTCTATACAATCCACTCCAACTGTGTTGTCAGGGCAGCGGCAAGAACGTCCTCCGGGGGTAGCCAAGCAGAGGTGAGTACAACCACCATTATTGACTGTACAGTAGTTATGTCCTGGAAAAGAACAGAGATGTAAAATGTTAAAGAAAAACAAAAGCAAAACCACAATAAAATCCTAAACACATACATACAAAAAAAAGTGCAGATTTCATGACTATGCTAGAGAAACAAGCCATAACAAGACTGAAACAAAACCGTGATTTGGGGAGATGAAAGTGATCGCATCCCTTGTGTCAGCTTCTGATACTCACCTCAAAGAAAGAGCAAGATATAGGGACAGAGCAGGAGAGGCAACATGAAAAAAAATGGACTCTTCCTGAAATACCCTTCATAAATTGGCCAAGTGGTCACAGACATTAGGAACAGTGAGTGAGGAAATACAGACAGTGCAACACGTGGGGACAAAGTCCAAAATGCTACAGGACCTCATCACTGGATACCACCCACTACAAAACCATGGAGGAATGACCCATGAAAACAAAAAAATCAGGTGGGTGGGGAGGAGCATGTTCATGTTGAAGGGTAGAATGAAAGCAAATACAGCACCAGAAGCAGTGGATGTGAGGGGGAAAGGCATCTCTCCAAGAAAAAGAAAAACGCTTGAAATAGACATATGATGAGAAAGAAATGATACCAAGGTTCTGAATATTATAAACATAAGCCTTTACTCAGAGCACACAATGTTTTGTTTTACACTGCCTACCACAATGGAACTGTGAATTAACTAGTAATAACAAAGTAACTGAATTCTTAATTATGACATTTATATGCATTTTTTAAGCTCCGAACCAAGCTTTTAATTAAATTAAATTATGTTTTTTACTATATATATTGAATAATTTGAAGACAAACTGTCTTACGGGTTTTTTAGGCCTAAAGTAAAACCATCACAACTCCTATAATTCCAGCCAGGTTGTAATAATAAAAAGTGAACTCTTCTCCTAACTGTGATTTGCTAAGAACAACATAACTGAACAGTGATATCGCTTCCCAAAGAACAATTTGTTATTTCAAGTGTTTCAACTTCCTCCCTTCTGAGCTTCACATGTGTTTCAATAACGTGTTTGAAAAACTTAACATTCAATGGAGCAGAAAGACCAGCCCACTTGCTGTTTTCTGAATATTCCCTTTTTAAAAACACTGGATCTCATTAAGGACATTTGGAAGACCATGATATTTCTGTATTCAAGTAGTTTAAACTTAAGAATAAGTAAGGCCTTAGCCATGAACATAGCAGTCAATTTAGACAATGACATCATAGCAGCTTTTGCCATGTCAGATCCTCGTCTTGATCATACGCTTGTCCTTTCATAGAAGATAGAACAGGCCCCTTCTTCCCTCCCTACTCTGGCTTCATATGGCAACTACAACAACTGCTTTTATGAAAAAAAAAAAAAAAATTAGGTGGCTTTTAATTTCTCAGTAAACAGAAATCTAATCAATAACCAGTTCTTCACTAACTACCTAGATCAGTTGGCAGCCTGTCAATGAGAGCTGCTACTAAGTTCATTTATAAACTAAGGTGTTGCACAGCTGTAAAAACTTGAGGATCATCTAGATTACCTCCTGGGCACTGAGCAAAGGCTGTAGTGATTCCATAGAGACGGGAGCGCTTATGAGGCTGGAAGTTATCCTTTTCTATTGAAATTGTGCGATCCACTGCTACAACAGCATCCCTGTCGTATGCAGAAGAGAATAGATACAAGTGAGATGAAGGTGGAAGTACAAGGGAGAACAAAACAAAACAAACAAACAAAAAAAGGGAAGAAATCTGAAGTTGCTTCTTTTTTACAATTAGGAAGTGATGTCCGAAGCAGAATCCTCCAAGATGTCATCTTTCCTGGGCAACCCAAACGTGTCATAGCCTTCATTCTAGGCAGCTAAGAAATTTAGCAGGGAGCCACCTTACTAATTTTGAAGGTATTTCCAATACAGGACAATGTCCTTCTACAGGAACACACCTGTTAGCAGTTTTGACACATTCTCCATATTCTGCCCCTCTGACATTTTCTGTGGTATAGCTGACCTTGCAGCTATTACACATAATGATTATGAAAAATGTGGTATTTCAGGTGGAGCCAGACATCCAGAAGGAATGTGGCTAGTCATAAGCAATCTTTTCTTCATAAAAATAAAAGGGCAGTGAATGGGCAGACCTGTAACACACTGTTTCCCATTTATAGAAGCCTATTCTAGAAAAGCATTTCCTGGCTGTTAGGTTCTAGCTTGGAATCCTTACACACATTAATGGCTCCTCCTGCTGCAATTGATGGAGTCATTTGTGTAAGAGTTTGCAGACCGAGCCCACACAACCATTTGCCTCAAGGAAAAATAAATATTTAAAAAAGCATGGACTGGATTTTTTTTTCTGGAAAATACAGTAAACTCTAAAGTCTTGACCATACATCAATGATTTAGATTATTTGCAAGAAAGTGTCATCAAGACAGTAAAAATGTTTTTTTCTTATTTCTGGTTGAACATTCAGATAATATAGGGCATAGAAAGCCTCGAGTGACTAATTTCTGCCCTCTACAATGCAGCAAGTACAGCCATAAGGGAAACATGTTAGCTCCCACTCCTTTCCCAAAAATGTTCAGTGTTAAAAGCATTTTCTTAGAGGACAAATCACTATGCTGAAAACGAAAGCTCAAGTTAACTGGCAACATCAATAGGTCAACTCTGCAGATCCACTCCACCCTGCATCAGCTATTGCCAGGAAAGCAAAAAACCAAGAATGTGTGAAAGGTCAGACATGGGAAATGCAGTATATACTTCAGTTCCTACCAGGGAGGAGAACAGATTAAAGCACTCCATAATTTCTTTCGCAGATAACATACCTTCTCCAGTCTGTGTAGTATAAATTCTTCCCATAGCTTGTAACACTAAAAGGATACTGAATTCCTTCAACAATCTTTCGTCGACTAAACTGATTAGGGTTCATGCATTCCAGCCTCTTGGTACCTGGGTGCAGTGAAACAATTAAGCCTTTGAACCAGAGCAAGAGAGCTCTCATGAGGGATGAAGCACAAGCATAAGCATGCAAGCATGAACAGAGTAAAACTTCCTGGAAGTCCTTCAGTATGCTGCTTAGCCAAAGCTCTCCCCATGCCACATCTCTAAGTGTGCCAGAGATTGGGTGGGAAAGTACTTTGGTGCTAGTGCTAATCAGCAGCCCACATAACCCACAGGAACACAGATGTCCAGTGCAGCCATGAGCATTGCTCACAAGCTGAGATTCCTGGTACAGACACCAGCATCCTCAGGCTGGGGTGGAAGTTGACAAAAGGTCTCCTCCATTGTGGAGGGATACTTCAACCACTAACCAGTTCCACCGCCTCTGGAAGGCATTTTTGCAAGGTTAGTTTGGTGACCATGTTCCCAAAATGCTTTCTGGGTTGGGCCATGAAGGCAAGACTACAGGAAGAACATCTAACTTGTAGGTGCAAATAGGATGTAAAAAGGTCTAGCTGTAAAGCTACCACACACATCAGGAACACTGTTAGTGAATGTAAACACCTGTAGGTTTCTCTTAAGTAGCAGGTTCCAAAATTAGGGAAAAAGGAAGAGACAAATACTAGAACAAGAAAGGAAGAGAGAAAAAGAAAAGAAAGATAGAACAAGGAGATAGATTTGAAGGCTGTACAAAGTGCCTTACAGTGAAAGAGAGAGCTCAATCTTTTCAGTTTATCAAAAACTTGAAAGGTGACTTGAAGTGTAAAAGCACCTCCACAGAAGGAGATCTCTGGCAGAGTCTACAGTGAGAAAGAGAGCAAGATGCCAAAACAACAATAACAACAAAAATTTCAAATGAGAATTAAAAGCACAAAGACACTGGCACAAAAATAACAATGGATCAGTGGCAAAACCTTCATCTCTTGATCTTTAAATCTAGCGTGAATTGCTTTTCCAAGACTTGCTTCAGTCAAATATAAGCCAGACTTTGCCTAAAGAGAGCTTACAGGTCTCAGAACAATAGTGAAAGGATGATATTCTCTAGGGCCAGAGTAGATGAATCAGTGTTTTTCCCCGGTCTTAAACTCACAACTTCCTCTACAAAGGCCTAAGCGCTACCTAAAGAGGCAGCCACATACAAGACACACAGTTATAAACCTGTTGCCTTCCAAGAAAGTTTTCTGATCAGAACTGAAATCTTTCAGCTGGCACCACGGTCTCATGTGAATGCTACAGTAGTAGTAACAACAAATAAAGTGACAGATTATTAAAGCCAAAAAGAAAGGTATGAAGTCTAAGATGCAGCCCAAAGAGCTATAAACATTAGTTGGCTGTGCATCGTTTCAGGATTGGACATACTTATTCTACTACTATTACAAAGATAGACTTTAGCACCTCTTTACCTGCATCTACCCAGCACAGCATTGAGGAATAAGGATCAAATGTCAGCCCATTTGGTAACCCAAGATCATCTTTAACAAGGATTCTTCTGTTTGTGCCATCCATGTATGAGGTTTCAATTTTAGGAGCTTCTCTGTTCCAGTCAGTCCAGTACAAGTTTCTTAAGAGAAAGAAAAAGGCAAGAATTAAGACAGTGGCTGATCTCAAAAGACTGTTGTAATTAAGGGAAACACTAAGGACAGAAAGCTAACACGCACACACCCCAAATCATTTAAATAAATAAGATGGACCATACTGCACTTGGATATAGAAGTGACAAAAAAAAGTATAGTAAAGATGTAGCAAATGTTATAGTTCCATTAAAAAACAAAAAGAGCAAGCACACATTTGAGAAAAAATGCGTTCCCTACATTGTTTAGGTTATGTGCAAGACGCCAGGGAAGACGACCTCTATTTCAACAGTTCTGAGGCCCATTCAAAATGTACACCTACAGTTGTCCTCCCCACCACCCATCATGTCTGCTCAGGCTAAGCAGCAGGAGCATTTGGCATACGTTTGTGGGACTCATTCAAAATTCCATTTTTATCTTCAGTGCACCAAGCAAGCAACATACAACAGAATGGATCAGAGTAGTTTATAGTTGGGGAGAACCACAAAGAGGGCCGTTAATTCACTGATGCTTTATTATTAGTGGCCACTTGTTAGTGGTGGTTTTTTCCTTGGATGCACTTTCTATGGCTGAGAATTTACATGAATGCAAGCACCATTGTTGTTTATTCCTTAACCCACACACAAACACAAACATGAAATCTACTGGGAGACACAAGTCTGTGCTGCTTGACCTCAACCCAGAGTCCTACTCCATCAGTAGGGTTCTGTATGGAACAGAGGTCTCTCCTCATCCTGATTACACTTGTGCCTCTCCTCTCCTCTCACACCATGAAGTGCGTTCATTTTTCTTTATTGTGCTTTCACTTGATGTACATCCACAGATGTTTTCACCCTGCTTTCACGTGACTACTATGTAAAAGTTTATTTTTTGTTAAAGGAAAGAGAGAAACCAATACCATTACTTTTTCATTTAGCTTTTTTATCACTCAGATGTTCATGGATCACATGCATCCTTTTCTCACTACAAACCTTGTTTGCAAACATCTGGAATGAGGATACATCTTCCAAAAAAACCTCTCCCTGAGCATATAGTACTTCTGTTCATAAACGAATTCTCACCTAAGATCATTCCAAATGCCTATTGTATCAATTAAGCAATTATTTAGTAGAGCAATTCCCAGCAATTCAAGACTGAAAAGAAAGCAATTCAAGATTCTTTGCCTCTGCGCTTCTGAGTATTTTGACTGAAATGTCTCTTCTCAGCAGCAGCCGTGCTACAGAAAGTTGCACCAGGACAGTAGCAGAGAAGTTCAGATGTTAATGAACTGCATAGTACTACCATGGGCTCCATAGTTTTAATTTTCCCTGTATTTCTTCCAACGTTCAGGTCAAAGACACACAAACATATGTATATACTTCTGGTTTTGCAGGCTGGAAACATAACTTGAAAACAGTTACACTTTTCTACTGACACTCTGCTTGGCTATTTCTGTGACTGCAGCTTACAGTCTCAATTTTTACATATGTATGTATCTGCACCTTTAAACAGAAGCCTAATAGGACCTTCTCAGCCATCTGAATGACAGAAGTGAAAATGGTGACAGAAGAGACACCAGGGGAGTTTTCAAAGAAGGAACACTGTACAGGAAGAAGGGCTGTCATGATGGAAATGAAAATATCAAATTGCTTAATCTAGTATTTTAGTCCAGTAATCTTGCAAAACCCTTTTTTTTTTTTTTTTAAGTAAGCGCAACGCTTGTCATCCTGCAAACAATGTACTGAAAGCAAGGTACAAACAAGTATTTGACAAACCTCTCAACAAAGTGTCATGGCATTACCCAGCAGGCATTTTAGAAGAAGTTTTGTTTCCAGTGTACCATTCAGACACAGGACACAAGTAGGTTGTTCCATTTTTGTTTGTTAGTTTTTTTAGGAAAAGATGGTCTTATTATTGTCTACGGACAGCCTAAAAACATGGACACAGCGCATATGCTCATGTTAAATTAATAAATAAAAATCAAGCTTTGTACATATATCTTGATAACATATCCATACCCTCTCACAGGATCTGCAACAATTGCTCTGGGGTTCACCAGGTCAGTGTCAAAAAGGATGCGACGCTGGCGCCCATCCAGCCTAGCCACTTCTATTCTATCCAGTTGAGAGTCAGTCCAGAAAATGTTGCGACCTAGGTGATCTACAGCTATCCCTTCAGGGCTTCCCAAGTCTGCAAGAGAACAGAGGAAAAACATGCCTAGACATGATATTTATTCCCAATACACAACGTCAGCCTCATAAGCATTCTCAACTGTTAACTAAGTTTTCTTTCAGTTTTCTGGCTGTGGTCCAACAAAAGCTACTTCATGTCAATTGGCAGAGGAATATTCATTTGCCTTATGAAGTTTAAATACACAAAGCTTTCACAAATACATAGAATGATAAATTTAGGAACCAACTCATCATGAATCCCAAATCTGCATGTAAACTTGCCTTGCGGGGTGGACATGGAAAAAGAGTTGATAGCAGAGAAATAAACAGTAGAGAATATCAGAATCTTATTCTAGCCCCCTTAGCAGGCCAGGATCTAGAATGGATTTTATAATCCCTAATATCCCCCTTTCTCTGGTACTGGCATACATGACACCCCTCTGAAAACTGGATTTATGCTAAATTTAGCCAATACAATACTTAAAGATAATCAAGCTCCAAAACACTAGAGATAATTTTATTAGCTAACTGATGGAATTTATATCCAGTTCTTTGTTTTTACAGACCAATCGTTTTTGGAACATGTTTTAGTACTGTATGTGCACAGTTTTTCTCGGACAGTTAGTTGTTCCAAAAGCAACAGGAAATAGCAGATAATGACCTTACTGCTTTAGCATTAGTAATTTCTAACTCAGATGAAGGATGCAGAATAAATATATAGCACTCCAAGGCTTAATTCAGCCACTGTGAAAAACTGCACCATACTTCTCAAGATTCATACATCCATTGAAAAAGAGCAGGCAGGCTGTGTGGGATGTAACAAAGCCAAAACCAGGTACAAATCAATTTTAGTCCAATTTCAGTTCCAAAAGAAATACAAAGAATTGTGCATGGTCATTCCCAAAAAGAAGTGAAGTGACCCTTCATATCAGCCAGCTGTTGAAAAGAAAAAACCCACCTTTCATATGCAGATCCACACATCATGTGAATGTCCAAGAATGGCAGAATGTGGCCCGTTAAGCCTTCTATTCATTCTCAAGTTTATTTACTGGCAGCCATTAAACAAACAGTATGTGACGCAAACAGCCTTTCTGGAGAAAAGGCATTTGGTCCAGAGCACTGGATAGAGCTGTCTAAAATTTGCTACTGTGACTTTGCTATGAATAATAGCTGCTCAATGGCCTAAACAGCCTCTGCTCTCTCGCATGGGTGGATTACACTTACTGCACTTCACTGGGACACAACATTTTGGATGTATGTTCATTTCTGAAGAAGCAGAAAAGAACAAATAAGATGTACCTCACTGCTTCCGACTCACAGCTCATACGCAGTGGGGGCCCAAGAAAGTAAATGTGAAGCAGTTGTCTCTTCACTCCTCCCAAGGGCACTTGGGCATACTTTAACTTAGTTACACTAACTTCACATTACTACTTGTATTTTTCCAAGTGCCTCTGTGAAGCTAAACCTGTCATCGGCAAGAAACCACCTCACATGTACTTCAGACCCTCAAATGTTCCTACTTCTTTTCTTGCTACCCGCAGAGGCTGCTGAGGGTGGCCTCATTTTGAGGTGATGGTGGCAACAACCCCAGTGATCTTCTGATCTTCTGGGGTGACGGAGGAGCTCCCAGCCTCTTTTAGGAAAGAGAAGAAGGTAGCAGGCAAAAGATCTGCTGCCACTGATTCCTAGAAGCCCCTATTGCCTGACCAGTTTTCTTCCTTCAGCTATATGCCAGGAGATTTAAAGAAGTCTAAAGTAAATGTCTTTCCTGTCTCGTTGACAATGAGACAGAAAAAACTATCCCCCATGGAACGGTAAGGGAATATATAGGCTTCATGCATCGCCAGTCTTTCCAGAGGCCCAAACGTGTTCCTGCTATATTGTCATCAGGCCTGATACAGTCACAGGCTCTGTCCCTGGGGACGGGCTTGTACAGACACGTATGGTTGATACGACTTAAGCACCTACAACAAAGAGGAAATCTCTCCTTCCTGACCTGCCTCCACATCTGCAGAGCTCAGAAAGCCTCCACAGGCTATACAGCTGCAGGGATAGATGAGAACTGGATGGGGCTCCGCAATAAAACATGTTTCTTCAAAGCAACTCAACTTGGATCACAGAAGCTTTAACAAACAAAAAAAAAAAGTGCATTGCACAAAAATACATGTGAACTGAAGAAACCAGCTGCAGCTCACAGGAGGAAAAAGGCAAAGATCAAAACAAAACAAAGAATTCTCATTAGTCTTCTGAGAAGGAGGCATTTTCCAGAGAAGACTTGCATTCAAACACTGAATATTCAACCTTATTTTGTTCTGACTCCTTATTGAAGAGCCAGTTAACATAGAGAAAGTAGAGTGCAACGTCTCTCAACATCTCTTCAGGAATGGCATTCACTTCCTATGCAAACATCAGGACAACAGAAATCATGCGATGTCTTTACACATACAATGTTTTTTGTAGCAGATAAAAACCATGAGGTTTCCATGAGGCACTGAAGCATCTTGAATTACCTAAAATAATCAAATTTAGTTGAAAGCCTTCACAAATATTTTTAAAATATTTCATACGCTGCAAGGTTTTTAATGCGTGCACATATATTCTCATTAGACAGACTAATTCATATCCATATAAAATTTTTAGCAATAGCAATTTCCCTCACTTTTTAAAGCACAGTATCTGAGAAAATACTTTGATAGTGGAAATCAGAAATCCTTTCCCCCCAGAATTTGTAGTTGTACAGGCACATGCTTGCACTACAAGTTAGAATTCCTTTCAGATGAAATATGTTGGGATGAAAAAGAAGTCTTACAAACATCTCAGCCATCAAGTTGTACAGAAATATGAAGGTCCATAATTGCTGTAATGGTTAGGGATGACCTTAAGTTCTCCCTTTTCCCTTCCCAGGAAAATGGTAGGATCCAAGCCGCACCCATCTCTCCGCTGCCCCTAAGAGCCTGAATGGAGTCCCAGTGAACTGGCTATTCCAAAGCACAAACTCCAGGTAGAGATACTCAATGCATCCAAAGAAAACTAAAGCAGATTTATTGTAGAGTTTTAAAACTGGTTGATCATTTTGCTAAAATTTCCTAAATTTTTGTGACAATAGCTGCAAAGGATCCAAAACAAGGGCAACCTCCTCCAGTATCTTGACCTCACAGGTGTTCTAGGATCCTGAGGACACTAGTGCCTTCAGAAAGTGCCTCCAGCTAATTTTGTTGGTTTTTTAATGACCCCACATTCACTTTGTTCTCCAAACCTGTCCTTCCCCTTAACCCTTTCCATTTAAAAAAGGTTTTCATATTTAAGATATATGGGCTTACACTTACCCTTCTAATGAAAATGAACATGGACCGCAGTGAGCAGCAGAGTCTTGGGGGAAAGAGTACAAGAACAGGACATAAACTGTAAAAGCACTCACCCCACAATACCCTCTAGGCCAATTCTCAAATCCTTGAGCTACTCCAAGGGTGAAAACCGAACAAGTGGGCTTCACTCACTTTTATTTTACAACTTGAGTGGGAGGCATGGAAAGTCACAGCTGAAACAGTTTCTAACCAGCTGTTTGATCCCCAAGCCCAGGAACAGAGAGCAGGGGTTTTCTTCTTCAACCTCCCTGCCTACCAGTCTTTTCTCAGCAGAGCGGGCAGCTGGCAGGCAGAGAACAGGAGAGAAAAGGACTACACATAACCAAATCTCAGCTAGCCAGTGGATTACCTACCTTGCTTGCCAGAACAAAAATCAAAGAGTGACACCCACAGATGATATTCCATGTGAACGTCTAAATGCAACTCTGTCAGCTTTAGTTTTGATTGTGTTCAATATCCATTCAACAGCAAACTGACAATCCATCATCCCCTTTTCAGATCATAAATACATTGAACAATGATGGGTCTACCCCAGCATATGACCTACGTTTTCATGATAACCTTCCTTCTTCACATACTTACATCTTGTAGCCATTGCATCATTGTAAGCATGAATAATGTCTATCTACAGTAGTCTGAGCTTAGCCTACCTATGTGTTTCATTCCTCATGGCCAGAACCTTTTCAGGAAGGATGCTGGACCACCCTTTCTGATCAGTATGGTTGACAAGACATGACTATAAAAGAGGCGGACTACACAAAGGCTGCCAGGCTGGGCACAACATAGCACAGCCAATCCTCAACACAGGAAAGTGAGGTTGTGAGTGCACTTTAAAAATCTGGGATGTCATGACCTGGGGATTTGCCCTGAGAGTACCAGCTGTGCTGCCCCACTATAGTGGCAGCCCTAAGGATGCCACCACAGGTACAGAGCAGTAAACGCCTCAAGCCTACCTCAAGACTCCTCCCTGGAAGTGACAAAGCATCCAAAGGAGGGTTGTTCTTTTTTTTTTTCTTTGTTAAACACAGCAAGAATATAAGCACAGCCTAGGACTGTAATTGGGTACAGAAATCCTCTAAACATTTCTGTGATGAGCTGAGACACTGCCCAAAGCCCAGACTGTGAGGCTCTGAACCCCGCACCCATTAGTGTCTTAAGATATGCTTTAAAACCACCACAGCAGCTTGATTCATCTTTCAAATCCCTCAGCCTTCAATTAAAACACTCCCAACGATGTTCACAAGACACTCAATGGTTAGACAGATACATTATCCTGCAACTGCAAGTAAGGAGAGAAACATCTCATTGACATGCTCCCACTTCTGGCCTTAAACTTAGTTTAAAGAGAACCAACTTCTTGCCTGTCTTAGCAGTGGAAAGGCAGTGAAGAGCTATTGCATAGGGAACAGATCTTTTTTCATTTTATGTTATCCAGACTTTTTGGTTATTGTTTGTCCAAATAACACCAACTTGTAATGCTACAACTCAGGCAACAACTGGGAAGTATATATTACTAAATTCAAGTCTCTAATGCCATTCTTAGGGAGTAGCAAGAGGAAGAATTTTGTTCTGTTACCTGTTTTGATGATGGTTGTTGGCTCCCCACCATGCAGGCTAGCCCTGCTGATCGAAGGGCCACTGATGTCTGTCCAATAAACCATCTTGTCCATGCAATCGTAAGCAACTCCAATAACAACTTTGTCCTGTTGGTCAACAAGCAAATTACATCAGCTTATTTTAAACAAAAATTATTTGCCAGCAGCACTAGCTTATGGATCTAAGTCTCAAGCCCAAAAAAACAAAATTCTTGAGGAAAGCTGGGAAATGGGGAGGATAGGCACAGAAAATGATTGGGTGGCAGTCATTGCAGAATAGCTTAGAAAAATACTTTCAATTATAAGTCCCTTTTAATTACCAGACACCATTTACAATTATCTTATTTCAAAGAAGCATTGTAGATATTAGTACTGAACAGTTGGTCTCACTTCTACAGCTTCACCTGCATAACCGTTTAAAGAAAGTTTGTGTCATTGTTTTACTGTGTTATTCCTCATGTGCTTTTTTCTCTCATTCTTTCCCTTCAAGGAGAAATAATGACTTCTATCAAATCAGACTTTTATTCTGCAAAATGATCAACCCATGCAAGATGGCTGCATTTCAGCAGTGCTACCTACGAAGCATCATTTGACTCAAAAAAGTTCTAGCAAAGTAAGTTTTTAAAATACAAAATACCTTAGGACAAGAGGAAATGGGCTCAAGCTGCTTCAGGGAAGGTTTAGATTGGATATTAGGAAAAATTTCTTCACAGAAATGGTAGTCAAGCATTGGAACAGGCTGCCCAGAGAGGTGGTGGAATCACCATTCCTGGAAACATTCAAAAAATGGGTAGACGTGGCACTCTGGGACATGGTTTAGTCTAGTCTAACCTTAATTGGTTTAGTGTGGACTTGCTAATGTTAGGTTAATGGTTGGACTGGATGATCTTAAAGGTCTTTTCCAACCTAAACGATTCCATGATTCTATGATTAAACAAATAGTCCATAAATCATTCTGCTGGAAATAATATGCTCAGGGTCAAGGAACACATATATGCAATTTCCCAGGCAGAAGAAGATAGGACTAGAGTTTGAGTTTAGCGTTAAGACTCTTTCCTCCAGGCAAATCAAAGAGACTTTCACAGTAAAACAACAATTTGACATGGATTCCCAGGTCTATCACCTTTACTGCTTTTGTAACTTGCAACTTCTTAGAAACATGGTCCAAACCGAGATGCATTAAAACAGATGCACTTATTCATCAGCGTACATTAATGCTGTAGGTTGCAAAACAATCTGAACACCTCTAAGCTGCTAAACACTGTCATTTTGCAAATACACAACACTGAGACAACACAAATAGAGACAACACTATAAGCAGAGACCGAAAGTTTCATTTTAACTGAAACTTTTAATGAAGAGTTGCATCTTATCTCTTGGAAGCTCTTTCTTGAAGATACTTCTAATTAATTAATTTAAGCTAGATAAGTAAATAATGAGATTAGCTGACCAGGATTCAGAATCATGTCTCTATATCAGCTTAACTACCCCATTTTGCACACAGTATTTTACTTTATTTTTACATTACTGCAGCAGCACTTTAGACAAGAGACAAAAGCTTGATTTTGCCCTTATATCACAGCACAGTTTGTGGTACTATTTACTGAACTGAATCTGTGTAATTTAGTCAGTATTTGGTCTACTAAATATTCACAGTAATGTAAAAAAGAGGCCAGTATGCTACCTGGCATTGCTATCTATTATAAACATGGTAACTCTGGAATGAAAACAGAAATCCCAGGCTTCAGGGAAAACAAGCGAATGTGATGAAACTAGAAGTGAGAAGAGTTGGCATGTGTCACAGGTGATGGAAAAGATAGGTTCTCAGCATCAGGGATTCATTTTCAAGGAAAAAAGATTCTGCAGATAGTAGTAAGAAGTGGGGGGAAAAGATTTACCACCCACTAGGCCTGCACATGGAGAAAAAAGCAAAAAAGAAGAAGAAAAAAAAATCTATATATATCTGTAGCCAAGAAGCACAGAGAATTGACTGAAAAACAGGAAGAGGTTAAGACAGGAAAAAACTTTGAGAGAAGAAAGAGAAACAAAGGGCCTCTCCACATACTGCTTATGTAGGTCTCCTAGACATTTATACCAGAGTCAAAAAGCCAATGGAAGTGTGAGTGTAGAAGCATTTATATGATGAGCTGTTGGAGGCATGTGAGATGAAAAATATGAGATTTTTTTCTTATGAGCTATTCTTTAAAGACAAATAATTTTTTTCTATAGCTCAATTTTAGGCTTTTTGACTGTCAGGTCAGGAATTTTCAGCAACAAAGCAATGGGATACCGAAATCTTAATCAAGAGTAAAAATTGCATTTGGAACTTAAATTATCAAATTACATAGTGTCATGGTTTAACCCCAGCCAGCAACTAAGCACCAC